TTTCATCCTTTAGATTCAGCATAGAGAGGGATCAACTTTACTTGAAGTACACAGGTAAGTGGACATACAACTAAATATATTTAGTGTAAAGAGCTTACCTTGAATTCGATAAAACAGTAAGGCTTTATCGACACAAAAAAAATAAAAGATTTATTGCAATAAAATAAATATACATATAACTACCAATAAATCTGTACTTACTAGTTACTACTTTTAGATATGTTTTAAATTATAATAATATGTGGCCTTTAACATATACTCCTAGCCTTATAAATTATTATTCGCAGTGATGTGGTTGTAATTTTTTTAGTGAGTATACCCTTAAATGTGTTTGATATGTAAACGTGGGAGGCTTTTTATATTTACAATTATATACATTAAATTACTACCCTGCCGCAATTGAGTCTCTACAGTTTACAATCATACTATTCATACTCTTAGAAATATTGAACATTTAAATTTTTTATAATAACCTATTTTATGATTCATTATGGATAGTAAGTAATTAAGTAATATTAAGTTTTAAATAGTTTTAATCAAATAATCAAATAATCAAATAGGATATTTAAGTTTCAGTTATAAATACATAAGTATTATTAATTAATAAAAACAAGAAATAGGATTATAGAAAAATATTATGATAAAATATATCTTATTTTCTTTGAAATTACTATTAAAGATGTTGATACTATTAAATTTGGTATTTATTTAGGCACCTTATATGCTTAGCTTATAAAATAAAAAACAAATAACAATTTAATATTTGATAGATGAGTTTATCTACTATCAGCATAACTGTTGACTTATTCTTTGTATTATACAATATTAATTTTTTATTGTTGCAATCTGCACTTTTGCAGTCGATAGTTGTTATCTATTCGAATATTCGTCTAAGACAAGTAGTAACATCGTTTGTAGCATCTAGACATGAACTCTTCTCTATAATCTTAATATTACGTATTTTTTTTTCGTATCAACATTAATCAATTTATCAAAAGACAGTTTGAAAGTTGATATTGAAAAAACTGAGCCATTAATTCAAATGTTATCTTATCTTTTTAAAAAGAATAACATTTTACTTGATTTTATTAAAAGTTCTCTGATGCGATTTCCTTTTAATACTGAAGAAGCAAAATGCAAAGACGGATGTCTGAGAATGGATGTTGTTTAAGCAGATATGAAAATATTAATTGGAATGTGCAACTATAGTGACTCTAGATATGATACTCTTATGATTAAATTTAAAGAAATGAAACACATTTTACCATACGCTAATGAAATCTGTAAATTAGCCTTGATTGCACCAGTAAGTGTCGCAACGAATGAAAGATCGTTTAGAAAAAATTTTCTACTTGACATTGAAAAAATAAAGATAGTCATTTTGTAAATCCAATTTTTAGAAAAATTTTAATTTTAGTGTCAAAAACTTTTACTAAGGCTGAGTCAATAATTTTCAAATAATTTTTAAAGTTTGCTTAAATTCTAATTTATTTCTCGTTTATCACTGTTACAAGTACAGCGATTAACCAGAAAATTTATTTTAAATGATATAAAATTATGCAAACTTCAAATAACCGTAGAAAATAATCGCTTGAATGATTAAATATTTTTTATTTTTTTTTTAAGTATTTCGTCTCGTGTTCAGTCTTCAATTTAAATTTTCGAAATTCTTTCCACAGCGGTTGAACACACAACCATACCAAATCATTATAATATTACTGATTTGTTTGATATTATGTTACGTTTATAAAACGAATGACCTATATTATTAAATACAACAGACTCGATATCTCCTCATAAATTTAACCAAACGCATAATATGTCTCCCGGGAAAACCTCTGTAGCGTGCACACTTATGATATGTAATTATTCCAATAGAGATTACATGTTTCAGCGTGTTTCATAATATCGACGTCCAAATCGACAGTTCGTATATTTAAATTGTGGAAGAACTCAAGATTTGAACATGGATAGATACTCATAATCGCACGTACGTCCAAGTTGGTTGGCTTATTAATCACCGCTAATTTCTAGTTTTTATCATCAATTGTTCGTCACTAGTTTCATCCCCTGGGGTCAAAGGTACTGTCGTAAAAAAAAAAAAAAAAAAGAAAAATTAAATCGCGGTGGTCGAACGTGGTGAAAAGTAGTACGAGAAAAACATTGATTCAACGTACTACACGATGCTATGTGTCCTTTTATACAACGTACATCCGAGTTAAAGGTCTAGACCTTGCAATTACGAACCATTTATTAGCTCATGTGAGCTATTTACGAATCGCAGAGGTTCGGGCTTGACCAGTCATAGGACTTCCAGTACCAGGTCTAGGACCCATACCTTTCTAATTTCGGTCGACTTGTGCCACAGGGATTTTTCCTCTTACCGAGGTAGGGTGGTCTGTAACTTTCAAGCGCTGGTCGTACAGCCACTACCCACGTTGCAGTCGGTACGGCGTGTGACAGAGATTCCCTCTCGCGTGGGACCGACTGGGATTTTAGCTGACGTCGGTTGGTTGACTTGAGGCGTACCTTTCCCACTATTTTGGCTACCACTTGGCACCTCACCAGCCAGGTGATACTGTGCTCCTCCTAACCTTCGACAGCGGGGTCGTTGAGTTTCTAAAGTAGCTCTAAATCGCATTTTACGACCAGCGGTGCCATGTTGCTGACATATCCTTTATCTCTGGTCAGCAGGGAAAGCCTGTCCTCGTATAGTAGTCTCAGCCTGTACGAAGGCCCGTTTTGACTCGCGAAACAACAATATATTAAGATCTAGTGTGGTAGACCACATGATAAGGTCCTATCAACTTGGCCCGTTGACGAGCGGCAAAAACGACGGTGACTGGTGCCGAGCGGTTACCAGTTCTTAGGGTTCTGTGGGGCAGTGTACAGTTGGCTGGAATTTGCAGTTCTGGACCCGACGGACAACTGCCATTGTTGTCACTGGCGTGTTCGCCAAGTGCGTAGACGCCGCATCCCGACGGGCCAAAACTGGCGTATCACTGAGATTTCACTCGCATCACCAACTGTGGAACTTGATGGCACCAGGTCAATGGTTGCTTAATGGCCGCGTACCGGCAGGACATGCTGATCCGGTCCGAGGTCGTCTACCTACTGGCCTTTTGCGAACTTTTCTAATTCGCCCAGAATATTCGTCCGCTCGGCACGTCGTTTTACCAGCGGTGCCGTCGGTATCGGAGTCGACCGCGGTCCGTACGACGACGGGCGATTTGGATGTCGAAACGGACGATCGAATTTACGAACTTTCGTTTCCGGTTTTTAAATTTGTCAAACATACATGCCTGAAAGAGCGTTCCCCGTAGGGTGGTCTGTTGAATATAAATTATTAGCATTTAATAATTTTTTTAGCTTTTCATTGTTTTTATTTCATTATAAACTTTTTATAACCTATAAACAATTTGTACCAACACCTGTAACACGTATTATGGCTGTTTGTTATTGTTAATTTATTATTATTTGAAATATATTTTTGTTATTTGAAGAAATTGACCACGTAAATAAAATAAAATGTTATGCATAACCAAACTATAAAAAAAATATGAGTATTCTGAAAATTGTATATAATATGTTTATTTTTATTTATGATTTTTAAGAGTCCTATACTTATAGAGGACGGATGTTTACAATTCATCTACACTTAAAAAATATTTATAAATAAATAAACAAATAAATATTAGATCAAAATTTTAAATTTATACATCAGCATTTGTTTCTAAATGCTTTTAATCAAGTTGTGTGTAAATAATTCATATGCATTTATGTATCTAAATTTGAAATTTTTGAGGAGTTGTGAAAAAATCACCGAAAATAATTTTTTATTTTAAACATACGTTGATACATTAGTAATAATATAAAGTTATAACTTAGAACTATGGAAAATGATGGTTTACTTTTTTTAAATTAATGTGATGGGTGGATTAATATGTTTCTGTATAGTAAATTAATAACTGGATTGATACTTGAAACAGTTGACTTTTACATTGATGAAAAATTTAGGTAAGGACATTATTCTCACAAAAGATAATAGCGGGAGTAACATAATAATAAACTCAAAAAACTATTCAAAAAACCAAATATTGGAAATTAAATTTAAAAAAGGATGTAGATTTAAGCAGGTATGCATGACGAAAAATAGGTCTATAGTGAGAACTAAAAATATTAATTGAAGGTTATGCGGTCGGTAAGAAATCGTTGGAAATACACTATTTCATTCGAAAAACTACGTGAAAATGGATACAAAAAGGATACAATCAGATGTGGTACTATGGAGGATTATGGGGAAGATAGAGGTGGATGTAGATCGATTTGTTTGGCGGTATTATTTCAATGATCAAAAACCAGGAGAAAAAATGTATTATTTTATGTGCATCGATAAAACCATTAAATAGTACCTATTATTTCTAATTTTAAAGAATCAGTATTCTCGTATTCCCGTGTAATTACTAATAAGTAATAACTAACAATCAACTCTATTTTTATATGTTTTCTTAGTTGTATTGTAATTTATAATATGTCATATATATAAGGAAAGTGACTTTGATAAATCTAAAAAATATTAATTAAAAATAATGATTTCTCTAGTAAGAAAAAATTTATTAATAAGTATTTATTAATACTCGTAAATTCATTTACCAGTAAGAGAATTGAATATTTGGTTTATCTAAATATTTTAAAATTGTGTATATAATATTATAATATAATCTGGCCACTATTAAAAACATAAATTAATTAAAAAATAATTGTCTAGAGACCAAATTTGTTACTTCTGTAGTTTGTTTATAAGCTAAGTATCTTTTTAGTTGAATTTGAACGTACAAAGAGTTATTTGTATTTTTCGATAGTACGAATTTAGTTTTGTTCGTAAAAACTTTTCTATTGTTTTTTATCGCAGTCTATTAGACCGATTAACTCGTCATTAAAATATAATATATTATATATTATAAATATATATTTATATATATATTTTCTTAATCAAAATAATGAGTGCTCAAGTTCAAGGGATAAAGGTTTACTGCAGGCTTAGGCCTTTAAAGAAAAACGACAAATTTGTCAAGGTAAGTTAACATTGTCAAATTTTTTTACTATGCGTAAAGTATGATGATATATCCATAATTTTTAATTTATAGTATGAAATTATTAAACAAAAACAAGGTATTGATGTTCTTGATATAAAATATAAAGCATCAAGGAACAATCTGAACAACAAATATCAGTAAGTGTATAATATAACATAGTTTATAATGCGGGACCTTCAACTTACGTCTCGTAAACACATTTTTGTTCATTTAATAAGTATTTTTATTGAAATCGTGGCTTGTGGGATTTAAAAAATAATAATATGTGGTACTTTGCTTAAAAATTCAAATACACTAATTCGTATTAAGTATGAATCATTAATTATATATTACACTAATTAATAATTATTAATTAGGTATTATGAAATATTCGAAGAGAATACTCCACAGAGCAAGGTTTTTGAAAATGTAGCTTTACCAGTATTGGATAAGTAAATATTTTTTAATATTACCTAGCCTAAGTACTATTTTCAATCTCGGTTAAATTGGTTTAAAACCTATGTTCCTAACACCAATATAATACCATTAGTACCTATATATTTGTACATTTTGATCGCTTTGAAGTTAGGTTATACAGTGATAAATGACAATATGTATATATTATGGGCATACGTAAATTTTGCCCGAAATTTTATCTATGTTAAAAAGGTATAGTATAAACTGCGTCCGAATTTTTATCTATGTTAAAAAAGTATAGTGTAAACTGCCCCCGACTTATAAACTTATTAAATGTTGACTTATTAAAGTCTCTATGTTTGACGATTGTGTACTTTTTCAAGTATATCACAGAAATTTTATTTTCGTCAAGAAATACCAACACATTATCGAATATCTATATTGCAGTAATACGACATCTGATAACTGATGGTTATCACTACTTTCGGTATAGTTCTGCTAGGGGTGCCAGTTAAATTCGCGAAATATTTTAACAGCGAAAACATTAAAAGCGAAAAGTAAAAATTCTATTACTTTTATTTTTTAAGCCATAGGTATAAATTAAAACTATCCTCTCTGCAGTATTATAAAATAAATTCAAATTCGTCAAAAAAAATATATTTTTTAATTCCTAATATGTTATAACAATATGACGTTATTATTTGTAATATTTATGATTATTTTAATTTTTTAAATTATATTTAATTTTTAATTATTCATATTATATGTCTGTAACGAATTAAGTATTTTACCTGTAGTTTTACTCGAGCGCAGTTTATATGTCACCTTTTTACACTTCATAAAAACTCGGGCGCAGTTTACAGTAGTTTACACGTATGATTTTGTGTTTGCCTGTATCTTGGACGCAGTTTACAATCGCCGAAAACATTATAATTTAAAAACATTTTAAACTTTGGGATTTAGTAAGTCAACCAATTTAATTTTTTGATTTGTTAGCCGTTTCTTTTCTCTTTCCACTTTAGGACGAAAATTAAACATTAACTGACAGCAACAGCAAAAAGTGCTCGAAAGTGATTGCAAGCAATTTACTGTTTTGTGTTTTATTTCTGAGCATTTGTCATCCATATATTATAAAATTTATGTTACTATCTAAGGTTAAAGGAGATTTATTAAATAGAATAAACTATCTCATCATATTTACCTAAAAATTATAGAATCTATTTACATTTAAATGTAGTTAACACATATTTTTATTGCAAGGTTGGACAAAATTGATTTTTTTGTTAATAAAAAAAAAAACTTCGTAAATTTAAAATGTAAGACTATTTTTAACACGAAATAGGATTTTGTGAGTCGACTTGACACCCATCTAACTTTTTATATGTATACGAACACTTATGTATAAACTATCGAAAAATTACCTATTATGTACTGTTTTTAATGAAAAAATATACTATAAAAAATAAATTAAAAATGTAAGCCTATGAATTGTTTAATAATATAGATTATACTAGATAGTTATACATAACTAATGCATTTGATTTACTTTAGTTTAAACTTCATTCATACATATTATTTCAGATTTCTATCCGGTATGAACAGCACCATTTTTACGTACGGACAGGTGATAAGAATTTTTTTGTTACTTTTATTTAATAATTTTTTATAATAAATTACTAATTATTTGTATTCCATAGACTTGTAGCGGAAAAACCCATACAATGTATGGATCTCAAGAAGATCCAGGTATTATACTTCGATCTTTTGAATACTTATTCCAACGTACAGAAGGTAATTATTGAAGTTCATTTTTTACATTTTTAATTTCAAATTGCATTAATAAAAAAAAAATGTATAGAACTGCTTTATGATTTCAATATGGAGTATATTGAAATATACAAGGACGAAATTTATGACTTATTAGAGAATAAGGACAATAATTCATCATTGAAAAAAACAAAAAATATAAATAAAAACATAAAACTGAAGTAAGCTTATTAACAAATCAATATCACAAAAAAATTAGCGTAAAAATAATTAATTTAGTTAGATAAAAAAATAATACTGTGATTTAATGCGTTTTTAAAATTTAGTAAAAAAGTGAAGTTTACAATCAATCAAAAAGGTGACATCAGTTTTAAAAACTTGTCAAAATTTAAAATTAATAGTTTTAATGATGCCATAAAAATTTTGGAGGTGGGTGACATGAGGAAAAGTGTGTCACCCACAAGTATGAATATACAATCCAGTCGAGCACATTGCATTTGTAGGATTAGTTACAAATGCAAACACAAAGAAATTAAGCTAAATTTGGTAGATTTAGCAGGGTAAGTAATATATTTTATAATTTAATCATAGCATTGAAACTATCAATTTTTTAATGATGTGTTTCTCAGGTAGTAAATTTATTTCATAATATAAACTAATCTTTGGGAAATAAAAAATAAAAAATGATGGTACTTTTTAAATTTACTGATACTAAAAAAAAAAAAAAAAAAAAAAAAAAATAGGGAAAACAAGAATTTTAATATAAAACAGGTTTTTAACAAATATCGATTTTTTTTTTTAGCTTAAAAAAGATTATCTTAAAACTTAAAATTTTCACAAATAACATGGTATACGTAATTTTTTAAATATTTTGAATCTTGTATTTAGCTGTTTATAATCTTTTAATTTTTTTATAATTTTAAGTATCTTTCATAAATGTTGATTTATAAGTTTAATGTATAACTATCAGCAAGTCTCATTTACAAATAAAAAAAAATAAAAAGCTATGTATAGGTATAGTATATACGAATATAAAGCTATTTGCAAATTCTCATAAAAGAAAATTGTTCGACGAAAAATTAAACATACAATCCAAGTATGAAATAATTAAGATCGTTCGTAAGACGATCACGAGTTGTGGTGCTACTTGTCAAACTATAGGTTATGAAACGTTAACCACTACATTTGCTTAGAAGACACATTTTTCCAACTTTCTTTAAATTTCAGATAGACTATATTTACCCGTGAAAAATATGGAAAAGAGCTCCCAAAACGAGAGTTGGCCAGAATTTGTAGACTTATAGAATGACTAGGTGCTTGTCATATTTTAACTTAATGCTTAAACCATTTATCCGTATAGGCTCTATAACAGGTACCTGTACCTGTAAACAGGTCTTTATTGATAAATCCGGTGATTGCTATATTCTCAACCTTACTCTAAATCTTAATAGCATTGGATATTCGTAAAATAGTTTATGGTTCTTAGATTTGACTTTTCTATCAACAATGCTTAAGTAAGAATGTGATGATTAATATTCATCGGCTTAATGCTTGTAGAAAATTAATCTAAAAATACTCCTATCCATCACATTTAACCCTATACAACTTTAAGAAAATAGGTTTCTAAACTTAATACAACACAACTCATTTTGGAAAACTTTCAAATTCATCCAACCTGTAGGTTTTATTTATTGTAATAAATTATACATCGGTCCTCGGAAGTACACTGTTTGTTGTATATAGATTAATAGTAGCAAAAATGTCCACCGGCACCAAATTAGTCGGTATATCAAATGAGTTAAGAATGAATCAACTCATACGTGTTTTGATCAAGAGCCAGTTTAATTCACTTGTAGGATGGAACATAATAAATATTTTTTTTGTTTTTGTTTCATCTTTGATTATTGTATACTATAATTTGTTATAATTTTTAGACTAATGACACGTGTTAAAATAATGCAATATGTTATTATTAGAATTTATGTAAAAAAATATAAACACTTTTTTATATCATTCATTTTCATTCTAAAGCAAATTTAATATTTTAGAAAAATATATAAATATTTCAAAACTCAACGCAACCTTCTAAAAATTTAATCGCCATCCCATTTGAGTTACGACCTAATATTTAAAAACCTTTGCTTTAGAAGATAAAATAAACGTTGATAGTGAAACTGCTATTATGCTATTTTATTTAAATAAAAGTATTTTTCACATATTATTGAAGGATTTATATTAGTTTTTGGTATAATAGCATATTTATTTGTCAAACATAACTACTTAAACATGTATTTTTTTTAAATATATCACTAAAATTACTAATATTAAAATATCAACAATTTTCTATTTTTATTTCTTGAGAATAAATATTATTTTTTGTAAATACTAAAGTTTATTATTTGTTTTCATTTTTTATTTTTAGGTCTGAACGGATTTCAAAATCTTTTGTCAACGAAAAAACGTTTGCCGAGTCTCGATCAATAAATGCATCGTTACATTACCTAAACCTTGTAATAAATGTATTGGAAAATCCTAAAATGCACGTGCCGTATCGTAATTCCACAATAACGTCGGTGCTTAAAGGTTCGCTGGGTACAAAATGTGCTACCGCAATGATTGCCACTGTTGTTCTGAATCGCCAATGCATAGCAGTTAGTTTAATTAATACACTATAACATTTATGATTAATCGATAAAAATCTCTGAGTAACTATTACAGGAGTCGTTATCAACTTGCCGGTTTTCGAAAGCAGTGGCAGCGATTAAAAAGATTAGAGGAATCTCGAGCACTCAATCTAAAATGAAAAATAAATGGGATTTAGAAAAAGAAATTTTGGAAAATGAAAACAAAGAGGTACCTATTCATTAAATAAAAACTGAAATATTAGTAATTTGTGTGGTAAATAAAAAGTATCATTAAAAATATTATTTACGAGTGAAAATAATTTTAATTTTAGTTGTAATCTATTGAAATTTAAGCATTTTATCATTTTTTTTTTTTTTTTTATGAACTAAATAGATTTTCTAATCAATTACTTATATTGTGTTGCTTAGCGATCTTCATCCTTTTTATATTCGAATAAGTACCATCAACCTATTTTGAAAATGTTCACACACCAATTGATTAAATAACTTTTTTTCATGTAAGGTTCCTATTATTAGGGACTACATGGTTATGAAAATATTATAAAGCTTAATAATTTTATTTAATAAACAAAATAATATCTAATATTCGTAATATTTTTTTATTATTAAGTGAGATTTTTTTTGCGCACCACAATATAATATAATATAATAATTAGTCTAGTACTTATAATTACTACTCAGTAAATTGGAAACAGTTTGTACGATATTAATGGATTAACATAAAATAGGTATACTTAGTTACTTATGTATATTAAAAACTAGAAAGGGTGTTTTAAAAAAAAAAAAAAAAACTGTATCACCGTTTTTTAAATTTAATAAAAAAAGCTATATATATATATATTATATTATACATTTTACAAATTTCAAAAGTTAGAATGTATATAAGTAACTAAAGGAAAAGCTGAGGGCGAAAATTCTGGCTCCTACTTATAACTAATATTTATGTATATAAAAATAATTACGTCATAAACTTTTATTTGACATAAAATAGTTTAAAATGTGATTAAATATTGTAAAAAATATTAACTATTCTTTTATTTATTAGTTGAAAGACGCTTTATCAAAATCAGAAAAACAATTAAAGAAATTTGAAAGATTGTCATTATTACAATTTTTGAGTAATGTGATAGAAAAGAAAATAGATGATAAAATAACAAGTAATTTATTTAAGTTAATTTTTACAAATAATAGGATTCGAAACTAAACATTCTAATTTATAGATAAAATATTATACCGCTATTTTTTAATATTATTATGTTTTACACTACATTAATGTACTTAGTATATAATATTTATTTATTTATTTATAAATGAGCAAATGTCCTATTCAACTATGGAAAAATAAATACTAAATACTAATACATGAAAAAATATTTTATAACAACAAACTAACATGTTTCATAAAATAATACAAATCAATTTACAAGACCTATAGATTTAAAATGTTAAAATATAAGAAGAAGTTATCATTAATTATTATCATCAAGACTTTGATAAAGACATTGTGTAGTTTGTCTAGGTAGTATTAACAGATAGTTTGTTATAATTATTCAATATAAAATAAATTGAAAATTTTTTATAACGTCTATTTGCCAACACTTTTCACTAGATATTATGATTCAAGTATGTATTTATTGTTTTTAACTTTGATTTCATAATAATTATTATAGTTTAATATTGAATTGAAAAACCGTTCAGTGATGTCTTATCAACAAAAAATACAATTAGATATTTATTTACTATTAATATTTTTATAATAATTTTATCATAATGTTTCTACGAGTATATAAAAAATATATTATCTTAATTAATGTACCTACTATGTACATGTACTATGTAATTCAAGTAAATTAGTTTGTTTATATTCTATAGTTTACTAAAATATTTTTTTTTTTTATTCAAGATACAGAAAACAACGAAGACTTGACGATTAAGTTAATTAACAATAACGAAGAACTGCATGATGAGCTGCATAAAGAGTTAAAAGTAAATGATGTGTATCTCTTTTATTTATTTTTTATCACTCAAAAGCTAAACCATTATTTTTTTTTTTTCGTTATTTGATCTAAAAGTTGTTATTTAATGAAGATACAGATATAAAGTTATATACGTATAAACACATATTATGTTTAATGTTAATAGGTAGTTAATTAAAAATGATAGTAAAATGCAAGTTAAATGGTTGTGAGAATAACAAAATGACGTACTAATACTCACAAAAACATTGCACTTCTAATATGTTAACTTTACGTCTTTACAAATTGTTTTACGCAGGATCCCATCGCCTTTGGTTAATTTTATAGGACATAGATGATTACATGGATATTTGTTATAGATTTTATTATTTTTTCTTTATTATGTGATACATATTTTAATTTTAACCCGTCGTTGGTACACATGTGAGCGCGCCGCTCACACAGATAGAATTTTGAGCGTTATTCCTACAAATATTATTGAATTAATCTGATACTATAAATACTTTCAAATAACATGTCTATAAATATTTATAAAAATAAATAATTACGCTATTTGTCATTGCCTATCAGTTATCGTTATACAAAGTCGACAGTACCGATTAACTATTAAGTGAGTGTCGCGCTACCACTGTACTAACCGCACAATATTTTTATCACCACCGCCGTAGTTGATTACGTACACAGTTTTGTATATACTGTTTTTTATTTTTATTTTATAAATTATGAAATGTACATAAAAAGTATTTATATACTATTTAGTGAAGGATAAAAATATACATAATTCTAGATATGGTTTGATTTTTTAAGTTAATAGATTAATTAATAATAATATAAAAAGTGAAGTGTGAGCGCCACGCTCACAGTGTAACAATCATGTTACAAACTATATGTGTACTAACGACGGGTTAACTATACTAAGAGAAGTTTTTACATTGTTGAAAAAAATACAATTTTATTTTTATAGCATACTATTATTGTGTGTTTTTTTTAAATAATATTTTGTGGGAGCCAGATAATGTGCTTTAAAGAGACGAGAGTGACCGATCGTAATAAATAATTATCGTAATATTATGTATCATCTTTATTTTAGGCCGACGGAATTGGTATGAACGTAGCATGTGACGTTCATGACGGTCAATTTGAACCGTATGACTTAATCATCGGAGACGGTATTATCAACGTTCCGGCGGTCGATGTGATTATACCATCCGTTATGGAATCTGGCGATGGAACTAATGATGACCAGAAGGTTTAAAAATATCCATCCTTTAATATTAAGCATATTTAATTGATAGTTTTACTTTCGAGTTTATTTTAATTTGAATAATAACTATATTTAGATACATTTTTTCAAATATGTAGACAATATGTTGGAGCATGGATTTATTTTGAATGCACTTTACGTGTGTCTTCACCTTTCATGAACTATACTATACGATTTTAAGAACATACAGATTAAAAATATTAAATTTAAAGTCGTTATTATATCGATAAAAATAATACATAAATTGAAATAAAATTATTTAAATAAATTATATAATATTCATTAATTTTTTTTTGAAAATATTTTAGTTAATATCATAGTATATTATAGACAATTTATGATTGGGGATAAAAATTAAGTAGCTACTCTCGTATGAAAATATTGAAAGATTAATAATAATAATAATAATTATAATGCGTAGGATCTTGAGGTTAACGAAGAAGTTGAAAACTTACCAAGTGACGTCAGCGACAACGAACTTGGATTGAACTTTGAAATTGTGGACGACAATAGCAACGTCCCAGCGGTCTATGTTAAGGCGCCTGTGGTTCATTATGGTGTCGAAACCGATAATAACCAAATAACCCGATTGGATACCATTGATAATAATAAGATCGTGGTATTAAAAAACTCAGGATTCTATAGAGTGGCTGATGTTTTCCATAAACACTGTAAATTCATTGTTATGTTAATGATTATAACTTTGATATTCAAACCGCAACGTTTATTATGGAACAACGAATTGGGCACTGATACTGAGAACTTTGATAGGTAAATAAAATGTTTGAAAAATTAAAAATGTACACTTTATGTAGGTTTTTTAAGATGATTAACTTCGTTTCTCAAGTCTGTTGCCCATATGTTGCATTTTCGGGTAAAACAACTTATAAGTGACATTTTCAAAATGTTTAGATAGGAATTTAATTTTGCAATATATTTCATAATTCATTACTAAACCAATAATACATAGTTAAATATTAAAGAGTGATGTTTGATTAATTTTGTGATTTCAATGTATTATTATTTATTATATTATTGTGAATCATTAAACATTTTTATACTATTATTTAATAAAAATAATAAATGAAAAAATAAATGTAAACTATGAGATTTTTAATTTTGTTTTATTGTTATAGTGCTGTTTTCAATAATCTAAAGTATATAAAACCAGTATTAAGTATGGACAGTATTCTACCTGAATGGTTAAAATTTCGTTTGGGTCTAGTGAAATTATGCCCAGAAGGCAGTGATTTTCAAACCCATTGCTGCTGTGGCCAATGTTTATGGATCTGTACTAAACCGGTAATAAAAAAATAACGTTAACATATGTACAAAAATAATTATTAAGCATTAGTAACTAATAGAATATATAATAATATATTAAATGCATTAAAATATAAAATAGTTTTAAAATAAGGTAATTTGGTTTATTTTTGAGATACTCGTACAACATGGTATATCTACCTCAATTGAATTTTGGATTAATAAATTGCTCTTTTCAAATGAAAATCCTCTTATTTTTATAACAAAATATTTTAGTTTTTAAATTTTTTCATTGATAATGTGCAGATTTTGTTTATATGTTTATTAAATACATGAGGAATGAATTAAACAAATTTTCTGTTATGTTTGTACAGGGCACCGCTACTCTTTCTCGAGTTAGATATTTATTATTGACGAATAATATCCAAAGCGGTTTAGCCTTTAATATATTATATAGAAAGGCATACTTTTTCTATAATTTTTTTAGTAGGTACATCACAAATTTAGTGTTTTTAAAATATCTATTTCATTGCGAATCCTTTTTTATACTATGTTTCAAAACTTTATTTTATTAATTACTACAAATTGTTAAGTTTTTTATTTTAGTACACACTTGTTCATTAAATAATGGGCAAATCAAATTTCTTTTATTTTTGAAACGTCTATATAAGTATCTTTTGATTTTAATACAAATAAATCATAGTCGGAACATGGATATTGATAAAAAAATAAATAGTAATGTTAATAATAATAAAATAATACAAATAACTACAATTAAACTATTTTTATAATTCACGCAATCCATTAACAGAAATTGAAAGACTAATTTGATTTTTTTTATAGAAAGCTTAATAAAATTTTAAAATATACTTATAAGTATATACATACAGATATAATACAATTTAGATAAATAAATGGATAATGATAGATTCCTGAATTTTTATAGATAGCGTTCTATAGCAAACATTCGCATTGATAGCATATTATATAAACGATTACTAATTTTGGTTGGTCGTATTTGTTTAACAGTAATGTGCCTCTCTATAATAATAATAATATTAATGCGCATGATTGTCAGAATAACAAGAGAACCAGTGAAAATATCTTAAACGACTTTTGTGATTGCCGACCAACGCCACGTGTTATGGACCCCCTCAATATAGTAAATGATCACCAGTCGACGAAGAGTTGGACTTGGTGTAACCAAACGTTTAAAGAATACTTAACATTAGCGAATTCGGTACTCAACAAAGGGATTTATGTACTTGGCTGTCTCTTTGTTATAATTTTAATGACAATGGTGCTATTCAAACTGTTCCGTTTGAGATTGATCAATATATCATATATTTGCAACGAAAATGCTGACAGGTAAATATAATATAACAGTTAATAATGATATTATAATGGTTTAAATCTTCAATATTAATTCGAATAATAATTATCAAAAGTATTCAAATATGTATTGTACACATGTCATGTTAATTATCAGTTTTATTTTTTATGATGCCCTCCTTAAATGAATATAATTATATTAAATAATATTTAATTTTATGTTAAAATATGTATTACGTTATATCTATAATTACTTTTAGACTTTTACATTTATTCAGTTTTCTATTGACAAAATCAATTTAAGCTTAAAAATTGAAAACTATAAAGATATGAAAATATAATTTTAAGTAAATCGAAGTTTTTTTCTTAATTCAAAATAAAATGTTAGGATTAATATTTTGAGAGATAAAATATTTTAGTAGATATAATTTATACGTCACGACTTATTATAAAATTTTTTGCTTTTTTTATCATAAATAACAGTAAATATAATATTAAATATAATATATTTAAAATACGTATCTGGATAATCTATTTAAATGCATTCAAAATTCTATTCAAATATAAATAAAATTTAGTACACTATATACGAGTACTTATTTCAATTCTTAATAATTTTACAAGACTGATCAATAATATAATATATCTAAGGAATAAAAATATTTTACTATTTACTTAATAATATGTTTATCCATTTAGCTCTTAAATTATAATATTATTTACCTATATAGATATATTTTATTACTGACGAGAATTTGAATAATAAAATACGTTCATAATATTATGATAGTATTTGAGGTTTCATTCTTCGTCATTATCTAATAACTAGGGCTCGTGTAATTATAAAAACATTATTTTTTTGAAGTAAAATTCGTAACTATTGGTAATTAACAAATTTGACGAGTCATTTCTTTATATTTTTAAATATTATAAACTTAATATATTGTAAATAATTTTAACGTTTAATACAAACCATTAAACAATAAATGTTTTTTTTTACATGTAAACACGGTTGTTAAATTTAAATGGATAATTATCGTTAATTTAAATATAGTAAGAGATTCAAAATTTTTAAAAATCGATGAATTTACATGTTCATGTACACAATAACTTCAACATAATATGATATTAACGTATTAACGAAAACAACTAGATATTATTACAATGATTTGTTGTAAAAATAAAAATTAAATAATAGAAAAATTAAAGTTTTGTTTTTAAATTTTTACAATTTATAGTTCCAATTCAAATACTCAAAAGATCACACAATCAAGTTCAATCACGGAAAATATCGAGCCTGAGAATTTACCAACTAGTCAAGTTACGGTAAAACAACTTCAGTCCAATGGTTTTACTGAGAAGGTACAGTAATATTGAAATAAAAAAATATGAATAAAATATTTTGATAAATAAATTGTTCAATAATAATTAATAAGTCTAAATAGATAATTCTTAATTATATTCCCGTTGATTTTTGTTCGGTTGTATTAATCTGTCTTAATCCAGTAAAAGACATAAGCGCCAAAATGAGATAAAAAAAAAAAAAAATCGTATCGTACAAAAACGCCAAAATCATATTGTATGAAGGCACCAAAATCCTAGGTATCTGTGTGCTACGGTTATTAGATACTAAATAACAGATATTATACTTAAATCCTAATAATAAATTGAGGATATCTCACGATGAAATATTTTTACAATAAAAGAAATACCAGAATGGTGAAATAAATCGTATTGAATATGTAAAAAAGGTGGGGTTAAAAAATCAACCAATTTTTTAAATTTATAATTTAAAAAAAAATAATAATTATTATAATAATTTATAATTTATTTTTTTTTTTTATAATTTATTATTGACATTTTTTTATAAAATTGCAATCGATTTATTATATTTATATTTATTGTATTTATATTATATTTTAACAATTTATTGTTGATAATTTTCTCAGTATAATATATAATATAATTTTTTTAAGATGGCAATTTTTAATAACTATACTTAATATATAAAATATTAACTTTGGAGTAAATAATATACCATTTTTGTACTTTTGGCGTTTATGTCATATGTTGGGTAAAACAGGTATACGATATTAGATTAGCTCTTATGTCCTACAAATTTTGGCGTAAATTATGTCATTTTTGTACCTTTGACGCTTATGTCATGTAGCCTCCTAATCAAACCGTTATAATAATAATATTTATTTTCTGCGATGGTTAGATCGACAAAAATGTTAAAAACTTTGTTTAATGTGAAGCTTCATTGCAGGCCGGCAAGAGACCAGCAACAGTAAATCTCGCTGGAGAATCACAAACTGGCTTCAAGCGATATGGTTTCCAACGGCGGTGTTAGAGAAGTAATTTTTAAGTAAAGGTGACTTAAGGAGCAATGGTAAGTAACATTCTCAATTTACCACTAGACGCAGTGAAGTGTAATATCTTATTCCGGACTTAACGCAAGTAGTTTTATACACTAAGTTATTGTTTTTTTGTTGTATATTTTATTTGATTTCAAGCGTCTTAAATTTTAATTTTATAAGAAGTTATATATTTAAGTGTTATTGCTGGGTGACTTCTTTCCTCATGTCTCCATGTCCTTATAGCTATATATTATATATTAGTATAGTTCATTATTATTTTTTTTCGCACATATGCTCATTGCTCATTGTAAAAACCCTTACTGATTGTATATTAGTTATAATTTCAGTCCTATTTCAATTTAATGCATAATATACAGTTGATTCCGTTTTATTGGGACACATTTGTTGCGTGTTATTTTGTCTCAATAATCCGAAATACAATAAATTTATTGAAAAACTGATTCTTTTTATATGTCTTTATTATTACAGATTACATACAACGATATAAATTATTTATTAATACAAAAATAAAAACATGATAATATTATAACCTAATTATTTATAAATTTATAATAATATATAGATATACTGCAGTACACAATACATATACACATTTCTTAAATTTTTTTTATTATGTAATTTATGTTATTTTAAAAAAAATTATGAATATTACATTGTTTCTTATGTATTATTGACTGTGATATTTGATAAAAATTTTTTCAATTATCCAAATTTGTGGCCCAGATAAGCGGTGAACGTTTACTTTATAAACATACATTTATTTTCGTAATTAAATCATTATCCCTAATAAGCGGTTGTC